GAGAGAGAGAGAGAGAGAGAGAGAGAGAGAGAGAGAGAGAGAGAGAGAGAGAGAGAGAGAAGTGGCGGACCTGACCTTGTGAAGTTTGTGACTGTTCCTAGGAGAAGTGATGTTTGAAATGTGACATTTGACATTAGTATGCTATCCATCCAGCATGTGCTGCTCCCCACCAATAGATGGAGCCTCCCCGACAGTGCTAGTGGCGCCTGCTCTTATCAGCACTCCTAGCATTATTCTGATTAAAAAAAAAGAAAATGCGATCCATATTCTTCTTTTTTTTTTTTGTCAAAAAAAAAATAAAGTTCAACTTCACCTTATGGCTTGGCTGTCAGAAGTTTGACCTTGCTGAAGTTTTAACTTTTAAGGTTCCTTGCTTGACTGGTATATGCTGCAGCATCTTGGCGGCGGCAATTCTCTTGTATAGTAAAAGAAACCACACTCCTTTCAAGGCCAAGCAAGTTCCATTGATGATTTGGCAGTCGATTGGCAGCATTCTTTGGGTCATCTCACTTGTGGTAAGTGCCTGCCTGTGCCTTGCTTGGAATCACTACCCTATTTGCCGTCGGCGTTACTCTTTTTTTTTGCTTTTTTGTTCTGGGGAAATAATTGCATCTGTAGATTCTGTACCCCACTTAAAGATGGGAATACCGGCTGTACCCGGTCCCCACACCAACTTGCATCTATACCCCGAAAACTGCCTGTGGAAATTATTTGCATGGCCAGCACCGAGGTGGACCCAGGTTGGTATCACAAAATTGCGGTTATAACCAACTACCGGGATGCACAAATTATGGACATAGTTCGACATACCCAGGGAAAATTATGGGCATACCCAGGACTGAGGTGGACTGACATAATCATTCGTATACCCTGCTACCGGATGGCTGAAATGATGCTCATACCCAGCAGCTGTTGGGCCGCAATGGTCCACTTGGTGGGTACAAGCCTAATTTCTTGGTCCACAACGGTCCACTTGGTGGGCATAAATTTCGTGGTCTGCCATCCAAGGCTTGCCACTGGGTTTGGGTACGCCTGCAATTTTGCCAGCCTGTTTGTGGGCATGGGTATAATTTCGTTGCCCGGAACCTAGGGCCTGCGGGACTGAGTAAGCCTACAATTTCGCACAGGGGAAAAGTCGGGTACTATGCAAAGTTGAATGGGGTCCGGGTATTGATGCGAGTCCGTGCTGGGACTGGGTATAGCGGGTATTCCCATCTTTACATAACAGCACATAAAGTCTTAAAATGTGTATCTTAATTCTAGTTGTTAATCGCATCCCAAATTGTGTACAGTACTCGTACAGTCTAAATAACTGGCCGAATTAGGTATCCGGAGTAGCACACACTGTCTCTCGATGTTGGCCTCCCAAAAAAAAAGAAAAGGGCGTATTCCGAGGTATTCGTACTTTGACTGCGAAGCAGGACATGACCTACGTGGCAAGAGTACGTATTCTAATGAGCCTCTACTGTTGAAGGAGTAATGTCAGGGGTGTTGTCTAATTTGTCTCTCTTTTTTTTTTTTTTTTTTTTTTTGAACGTGTCCTTTTCTTTTTGAAATTGGTGCCATCCTGTTTTTGAACTTTAAATATAACATGTAACGAGAATCAAAATGTCTGAAAATTTGAAATCGTTAAATAATAAATATTAAATATGCTAGATGTACAGACAAAGAGAACTTACATCTCGTTACTCGAAAGTTCGCGGATGCTTTCAGTGGAAGCATTGGCCTCCGCTAAACCTTTTGTCAGCTTTTGATAACAAAAAGTTCACAAGATGTCCACTTATTTGTTTACAAAAAACTGGCATAAAAGTTTAGCAGAGGCAGATGCTTCCTCTGAAAGTAGCGGCGAACTTTCGAATAACGAGATGCGAGGTCTCCTCGTCTGTACATTTAGAACATGCGAGATGCGAGGTCTCATCGTCTGTACATTTAGAACATGCTCGGATATGGAGCCAGGACAATAAGGGCCTGTTTTCCCTCCAAAAAAAAAAAAAAAAAAAAAAAAAAAAAAGGGTTCACAAAAAAGAGAAAGGTTACAACTTGCAAAAGTTACCAACAAGTCCAATTTGATCAGCTTCTGCTACACTTTTTGGTAAGTTTTTTTTTCTTTTTTTAAAATAATTAATAATTTCTTTTTTTTTAAGTTTTGTGACTTTTGTCTTTTTAAAAGTTTTTTGTTTTTTACTTCCTAGGAGGTCACCCATCCCAGTAGTCTTCCGACCCAATGGCACTTGGCTTCCGAAATTCGGGTGGGATGAGGCACATTAGCCCTGGTTTGACCATACCAATAATTTTGACCATTTCCCCATGTATGTACTATGCATGTGTGTGACATCCTTGCACAGGGGCCATGCTAATCTTCTCGTGTATCGTTCCAATTTCGACGGATATCCCTGAAGTAAAAAAAAAAACACTCGGGTCCCTAACTCGTTAGACCACCACTCTGTCCGGACCTATTTGACTAACCAAAAGTTGCATTTCCCCGAGCCTAAAATCTACAGTTCCGCCACGAGGGAAAAATAATTGCGGTACCCTTCCGCACCAAACCTCTACCGGACCTGGGCACTGTCGATTTTGGCGCGGTACTTGTTGTAGACAAGGAAAGTGAACAGTGCAGGGCCAATTGGAGCGGAGGTTTAAGCTCAGATGGAAAGTCCTCCGCCCGTTTCTCTAAGTAAGGGGGTGATTTTATTTTTTTCCTTTTTTCTTTTTTTTTAATCACCAGTCCCAGCTCCCCTACTGTTTATCCAAAACTTGTTGACAAGTACTGGCCCTGGCCTGTTTGGGAGAGGGCCGGTAGCGAGATGGTGGTGTCGGGTGCCAAAGTCTTGATTTCCCCAACTATGGCGATTTCTTTCTTTTTTTTTTGTTTTTCTTTTTTCTCAATTTATGTGTGTCATCCTTGGGCAGGGGCTACGTCCCACTACAGACGTTTTATTCGTTGTGTGACTACTTTTTTTCATTTAAATGGTAAGGAAAACTGTTATTTTCGCTGTTTTTTTGCATTTCTATCTTCTGTGAATGAGAAAAAGAAAACACTGTTCTGACACGGGCACTCGCTGGGAAAAGCCCCTGCGGCCGTGATACACGGATGCTTGCAGAATCCGGTGCTGCATGTGTGCCTCGTATTCTGGACTCCGCCAAACATGCATGTAGACCCTTTTGTGCACATTACTTCCGTATCTCTCCGAGTACAAGCCCAAATACGGGTTGTGCAAGATCCTGGCTGAATGCTAAAGTCCACCTCACGACCTCCGCCGGGGTGAGTGAAAACTCCATCTTTCCATTTCGGGCAGTGCTATCGGAACAGAGCCCTCCCCTTCGTAAATGGTGTGCCGAAGCGCCTCAAGCGAAGTTGAAGTTCCTTCGGTGGCGTGCCCCCGGGCCCACTGTAGTTCGGATGCAACAAGTGCCGCCGAAATTGAGTAACGGTTCCCTCCGCTTCGTCGGCCTGTTTTTTTTTTTTAAGCTCACTGTACACCACCAACCACCAACCACCAACCACCAACCACCAACCAACACCCGCCCCCACTACAACTTCGGCCTTTAACCCCCTTCACATGTGAACGTCCTCTTCATTTCAATCTCACCCGCTACGACAGAGCCGACGTCTGTGCATTGCCCTTCCGTTAGCTTAGCATGAAATGTTCTTCATCGAACCATGCTGGCGTTGAGAAGAAGGGATCGGGAACAGCTCGCAGTCGTAGTCATGGATATGGCAGGGAGGATGGCAGAGGATGCTTTTGACATTGTGGACAGCATATGCCATAAGAGGACGCTGAGTCTCCAGTGTTTGCTCAAGAGTGGCAACGAAGGCCTCCTCTTGGGCAACGATGATGCAGATGATGATAGCCGTGGGGGACGGTCTTTGCTTTGGCTGTGGCCCACTGTTGTTGATGTCTGCAAGCTGTTGCCCCGTGCTTCGCCTAGGTGGTGGGTCATGCGGCGAACAGGTGGGCTGTGGAAGGATCTCCTTCCGTGTGATGATGCGGAGGATGACCACTACTTGGGTCTCTTACGCATGCGGCGGTCATCATTCAACCGTCTTTTGCGGAAGGTGGGTCCCCTCTTGGAGAAGGAGGTGACAAAGTTCAGGGTCCCTTTGGATCCTGCGAAGAAATTGGCGTATGCTCTCCACAGGTGGGCGCACGGTGACTTGCATTGGCATACTTGTTCTGGCTACGGTATGGGCAAAACCAGTGGACTCCGAGCCGTCAGAGAGGTGGCTGAGGCCATTATCACGTGTTACCGGAACAAGGTCGGGTTTGGGGGTTTTGCGGAGCGTCATCGTAGAATGCAGTTGTTTGACGCATTGGGCTTCCCGAACTGTTGGGGGTGCATAGACTGCACCCATGTTTATATGGACAAGCCGCGCACGAGGGATGGGGATGACTATTGTTCGGGAAGATTCAACAGGTTCTTCATTGTAGCACAGTTGGTGGTGGACTCGGAACTGAAGATCCTGGACTTCTGCTATGGATTCCCAGGGACTGTTGGTGATGGACTCGCGTTGAAGTCGACGTCACTGTACAGGCGCGGTCTGCAAGGTTCTCTGTTATTGGACGACCCCGCTGATCCTTTCGCTGGTGAGAGGCCGGCAATTGCAGGTGTCCCTGGCGGGTACTTGCTCGCCGATGGCGGGTATCCCAGTCTACCATGGATCGTCACGCCTTACGGCCAGCAACCGAATCTCACAACTGCCATGCAACAGTTCGATGCACTCCACAAGATAGTGAGATCTTGCGTGGAGCGTTTTTTTGGAGTTTTCTAGATGCAGTTCCAGTTCTTCTATCGTCCGCATGTGACCGATATAAGGAGGGAGGGTCTGGAATTCGAAGCCTGTTGTATTCTCCACAATCTATTTCAGGAATGGGGAGACATGCCGCAAGAGGACTTGGAGTTCTCTGATGCGTCTTCCCCTGACACACCTCCTCCCCGTGGTGGACAATGAAGTATGGGACTACCGATTGAATTCATGTTCGGTTGCGAACACGGGCAGGCCATGAGAGATGCACTGTGTGCAGAAGTGGTCCGCTTGTATGAGCTTCGGAGGGAGCAGTGAAATGGGCCTCACGAGCAGACCACTGCGGCACGGGTACTGGTTCATTTTGGTGCCCATTCATATACTGTTTTAGGCCGAAGAGCTGCTCACTTGCTGTCCATTGCTTTGATCATTGTTGTGCTGCGACAGATCGTTGGGTTCTGTTGAGTTCCTTACGAAGGACCAATGGCGGGGAGGGACTGTGTGAGGGAGAGGGGTGCGGTGCTGAATGAAATGGAGAAGATGGAGAGGGAGGTTGAACGAGTGCACAAGTACTTAGTGGAGAGGGGTGATAGCATCACAGTCACGATGCGTTGCGGTAGATCTGTTTGTGAAAGTGAGATGTCCCTCGAGAACATTCACGCTCGGAGATGGGCAAGTTCCGTTCTCAAGAGACTTCATGCTTCAAGGGATAGTCTGCGACATTGCTGCGACGAACTTGTCATCCACAACCTCCAGATCCGACGAGATAACGACGAGTGGAGACGAATGTGGGAGGAGAGCCGAGTGGAAGTACGGGACACTACCCGAGCCTTGCATGCTGCAGTTCGAGACAGGGACGAAGCTCGGTCGAGGTGTGAGGCGGCCGAAGCGGACGTGCAAGTGGCACATCAGCAGGCTGAAACCGCTTGGAGGTTCTATGACGACATTGTGCGTGGAGTGGCAGTGGGGACTGTTGGTGACAACGATTTGTGTGACGAATTCAAAGCTCTTTGCCGTTGGTGGAAAGGGAAAAGCTGCAGGCACCTCATCAGCAACAGAGGGTGGACATGGGGCCACATGTTCGTGTTGCGAGGAACTCAGTGGCAGGATGAAAATGATGGAGAAAGAGATCGCACATCTTCAGATTAGTAACGAGCTTCTCAGCCTCCCTG